AGGAGGAGGAAGTGGAGGAGGAAGAGGAAGGAGGAAGAAGAAGAGGAAGAAGAAGTGGAGGAACAAGAAGAAGGAGAAGAAGGGGGAGGAGGAAGTGGAGGAGGAAGAGGAAGGAGGAGAAGAAGAAGAAGGTCCATCCCAACGTGGTCAGCTGAGGAATTCTGGGAGTTGAACTCTACACATCAAATGTGACTGAACATCTGGTGACAACTCCCCGCAGATCGATTGAATCTGGAACATTAGAAGATCTGCTTCTTTCTGGACTTACAGGAAGTGAGTGTACACGGTGTCTCCCATGAACCCGCTGAGGATGATGTGCTTCTTGGTGAGGTCATAGATGGGCAGCTCCACACCAACCACCACCGCGGCTCTCTGGGCAGTGAGAGAGACTCCCTGCGAAAAGAAAGAAGAGACAACCATTAAGTGGCCAAATAAAGCGACGTCTCCTTTAAGAAATAATTCAGAGTTTTGTGGGATTAACTTCTTACTGAGGCATTCCTTCTCTGAGATAATCCTTACAGGAACTCTGAAGGAAGTTCCTTTTATAAGTCAGTCTTGAAAGAATCTGAATTGTTTTTATTCCACACACCCCCAGAAAATCCAAAGCAGAAAATTGTCAATTATGATGATGTCAAATACCTGACATTCCCCATCCATCAGTTTTCCTGTGAATAATTAGGATTGTCCCACCCAGTTTTCCCATGAATAATTCTCAGAGATATAAAGGGATTTTTTTTTTAAAAAAAATGTTATATTATTACTAGTTTTAATAATTGGTTAAAGGGAATAAAATGGGCAAAATATGTTACAGTGCAAAGAGGGTGGCAAGTTTGACTTGATAATGAAAGGGGGATAAATCCTGGATGGTATAAATTAAGATGAATTTTTGAAAACGATGAATGGAATAACATAATGTGGTAAAACCTGCCAATAGGACGAATACAAAGAAAATGTGCGCAATGAATAGACGATTAAGAATATAGATAATATTATAAAGTAATGCGTGAGAATATAAAAAGGAAAATGAAATAGGTAATATGATCGGAAATTGGATAATAAAACTAAATATGTAACCAGGGTCATGTTTGTATTAGAATGTAAAAAAAAAAAAAAAAAAACTGGAATCACATTGTTTACTCAAAGGGACGTTTAAAAAATAAAAATTAAAAAAAAATTGCTGCAAAATAAATAAATAATAATTCTCAGAGGAAAGCTGCAAGAGTTTCTCCCAAATATTTCAGAGTCAGAGGCAGGTGCTAAATGAGGAATCGAGAGGGGTTGCGCTGCCCCATCTTACAGATTTGGGGGAGTTTTCTACCATCCATAGGGCCTACTTTGGGCTTTCTCTGGGTGAGAACAAACATAATTCAGAATTCTTTGATGATGAGCAGCTCGGTTTTGGTAAATCCCAGGCTGCGTTGTGGTTAGCGGGAAGTGTGGTGCACTGGTTAGAATGTGGTACTGCAGACTAATTCTGCCCGCTGCCAGGAGTTTGAATCTGACCGGCTCAAGGTGGACTTCCGTCCTTTCGAGGTGGGTAAAATGAGGACCCAGATGGTTGGGGGAAAGAGGCTGACCCTGTAAACTGCTTAGAGAAGGCTGGAAAGCACCGTGAAGCGGTATATAAGTCTAAATGCTATTGCTATTCTCTCCCTCCTTCCCTTCCTCTCTCCTTCCTTTGTGCCCTTTTCTTTCTACCTTTCTTTTCTTGCTTTCCCTCTACTCTCTCCTTCCTTCCCCTCTTTTTCTCCATTTTTCTCTTTCTCCTGCTCCCTCCATCTCTCTTTTCCCTTCTCTTTTTCTCTCCCTCCTTTCCTTTCCTTCCTTCCTCCCTCTTTCCTTCCTTCCTTCCTCTTGTAAGAGCCGTGATGGCACAGTGGTTGGGATAAACGCTAGTGCATGCTACTTCTGCTGATTGCCAGCCGCCAGCAGTTCAAATCTCACTGTCTCAAGGTTGACTCAGCCTTCCATCTTTCCGAGGTGGGTAAAATGAGGCCCTGGATTGTTGGGAGCAACGTGCGGACTCTGTAAACCCCTTAGAGAGCGCTGTAAAGCACCGTGAAGTGGTATATAAGTCTTAAGTGCTATTGCTATTGCTAACTCTGCCCACTGCCAGGAGTTCAATCCCGACAGGCTCAAGGTAGCCTTCCATCCTTCCGAGGTTGGGAAAACGAGGAGCCAGCTTGTCGAGGCCAGTGTGCTGACGCTGTAAACCCCTGAGAGAAGACTGTAAAAGCACTACAAAGCCGTTTATCAGTTTAAGCGCTATTGCAAAGTGCTATTTCGCAGCATTAGAAACTTTCCGTGCGAGATATTCCCATAAATCCACAAATCACGGAACCATTTTTCTACCTATCTATCAAGGCAATCGATACAATTATGATCAATTTCATCTTTAAATCCCCAAACCCAGGGTTGCCCAATTGGGGTGGGGGTGGGGGGAACCACCCACAATCCAGAAGGAGTTGCTTTCGCCCTGTGAACTTTCTCAAACTTGGCACGTCTCTGGTATGTACTGCATAACTTGCCTTCCACAGGCCTCGGGTGCCTTCGTTCTGATAAATATTCATGAAATTCCCAAACATGCCGCCTTCGATGAGACTTCCTTGAGCTTGCATCCTGATCTAGGATTTATCGGGGACGGGAAAGAAGACCAAAAAAAAAAAAAAATCAGAAAAAGTGTCATATTTTGATCGTCCTCCAGTTCTTCCATGATGAAATGAGAAGGCATCTTTGCATATCTTGGAGCCGTCAATCAAACCAGCTCGCTGGCATCCATCTGGCTTACCTGTAACTCTAAACGAGGGGTGGGCAGATTAATTTCAAAGGGGGCCTTTGAGTGGTCATTTTACGTCTCCTACCCTTTGGTGGAGGAAGTGGGGAGAGAGAGAGAGAGAGAGAGAGAGAAATACACCCAGGAAGAGAAATCAGAAAAGAAACCAACAGAAAATAATGGAATGTACAGAAATGAGTAGATTGATATTAGCAATTAGAGAGCAGGAAGAAAAAGAATATTATAAAATATGGGATTTATTTTATCAATGGTTAGAAAAATGGTGAAACGAAATACATTGTAACATAAATACAAAACTAAACTAAATATAATACAATGAAATATGTTATAGTTGTATATTATGGAAGGAATTATAATATGAATTAGGACTTGTAAAAGTTGAGATTTGCTCGAAAAGGATGATGTGAACTTGCAGTTAAAGTCTAACGATGTTTAAATAATAATATAATACGATATGAATAGTTGATCTATATAATATGAATTTTAATTTAGCTTAAGAGCGAAAGACTGTTGATACTGTGCACAAGAGATATGCACCAACTGACACACCGTACAATTGAAAGAAGGTTTTATTTGTTGTTTTACGTTTGTGTTTGTTTATGTTTGTTGTTAAAACTAAAAATATTCCCCCCCAAAAGAGAACACGATATTGGTAGTGGTTTGGTCTCCAAGCTCGTTCCAAAAACCCGAGCTGCAAGTATTTTCTATTATTTCAAGAAGAGGATATCTCTGCCCACTTTTGGCTATGGCTCAACTTACTCCTTATGTCAGTCCTGTTTAAAATGTGAACATGTGAGGTTGCAGTTCTTGGCAGAAGAAAAGTCGTCTCTTCTATATCGTATGTTTTACACCCAAATAACTGTTCTCGTTGGCTTGGAAAAGGAAAACACAACACAAAGAGGTTGCTGACTATTGAAAGGATCCCAAAGGGGAAAAAAAACGAACGAAATATGAAAGGGAAAATCCATCGCCAACATGTAAAATGCTTAAAAATGAGCATACATGGGAAGCCAGCTGGGTCTAGCGGTTAAAACAATGGGGTTGAAACCAGGAAACGGGGAGTGCACTAGACATGGAAGCCAACGGGGTGATTGGGGGCCAATCATCAGGAGACGGTGAGTTCTAGTACTGGGTTGGCTACAAAAGCCATCTGGGTGACTTTAGCCAGTCTCACTTGTTAGGAATATAAGTTACCTAACAGGTATTTGGGTTGAAAATATACAAACCAGGATAAACATTTTAATACTGCCTCTTTGAGGGAATGCTAAAAGAGTAATTAGGTGTGGTTTCTCAAACGGCCATAAGATGGAGCCAGAAACCTGGGTTGTTTAGTCTTAGTCTCAGAAGAGAGTGTGTCTGAGTGAGTATCTCTGTTTCCTTCTGTTGGAAAGTATTGCCGTTCCTCCATTTTTCCTAATTGACTGATATTCACGGATTTAATGTAAGTCTGATACTGAACTGTTTTTGACACTGGACTTTCTAACTGGATTATCCCTGGACTGAAAACTGACTGATTTTACCTGTGAATGACTTTTGGACTGCTTATCTTGAACTTTGCTTAAACCTTTCTGGAAGTAAAAACCTACATTTACTGTACAGTGTATCTGTGTGCTGTGTGTGTATTATTCAAACACTCCTCTCAAATACGCCTCCCTGTATGCGCTCATTCTCCTAACGGGGAATTACCTCAACATCACTCTCTCAACCCAATTCACCTCACAGGGTTGTTGTCCTGTGAAAAATAGAAGGGAGAAGGAGTATTAAATACTGTATGTTTGCTGCCTTGAGTTGTTAACAAAAAACAAGAAAGATGGGAAAGAGAGGGGGAGAAGAAGGGAGGGAGTAAAGAAGGAAGGAAGGAAGGAAGGAAGGAAGGAAGGAAGGAAGGAAGGAAGGAAGGAAGGAAGATCCTACACTAAGGGGAAAAATATTTCTTCCAGAACTGGTACAAGCCTGATTGAAAAACAGAAAAAAGCTTCATAAATAAGACAAACTCTCCCCCTCTCCCTCTTTAAGAGAAAGAGAGAATATATCTATTTATCTATCTACGTAATCTATCTACATACCAACCTATCTACTCTATCTATCTATCTATCTATCTATCTATCTATCTATCTATCTATCT